TTCCTTTGAGTACCTTTTGGGTTACATCCAGCTGGTAATGGTGTTTGATTGTAGAAGGAACAAGTAGGACATTTCTTTACTATTTCTTTGGCTTGTTGCCAGGTTATGGAAAAATCCTTTTTTAAACCTTTACTATTGACATGATGTTTTTTATGAAATTCTAAGGCCTCCAGCACATTTCCTATCAATAATTTATCAATCTCATCATTGCCTTGTGCTAAAGGGCCTGGCAGACCAGTATGGGATCGAATGTGAGTTATATATAAAGGATGACTCCTTTTCCTGATTGTATCTTGTAATTGAATAAATAGTGAAGTTAATTCTGAAGCATCAGGGATAAATTCTGCAGTCTCAATATGTAATACTACTCTTTCAGCATACTGAGAGTCAGTTACTATGTTGAGAGGTTCTGAAAAATCCATTAATACCAACAGAATAGCATACAATTCTGATTTTTGAACTGAATTATAAGGACTTTGAACCACTTTACTTAAATTTTCTGATTTGTAACCTGCCTTTCCTTGTTTGTTGGCATCTGTATAAAATGTACGAACTCCAGATATGGGCTTTTCCCGTACAATTCGAGGCAAGATCCAATCAGCTTTCTTTATAAGATCAATTCTATCGCTTTTGGGATATTTGCTGTTAATTTCTCCCAAAAAATTACTGCAAGCTCTTTGCCAAGGTTCACTTTCTGTCCATAATTTTTCAATATCCTCCTTAGTTAAAGGTACGACAATTTCTGCTGGGTCTATTCCTGCTAATTGACGAAGTCTCAATTTTCCTTTCCAAATCAAGTCAGAGATTTTTTCCACATAAGTTTTTAATTTTTTATTTGGTTTATTTGGTAAAAATATCCATTCTAATATAATATCTTCCCTCTGCATTAATATTCCTGTTGGAGAATGCCTAGAAGGTAAAATAACCAAAATGCAATCCAGCTTTGGATCAATACGATCCACGTGCCCTTCATGTACTTTCTTTTCTACCAAGGCCAATTCTTTCTCAGCTTCAGGTGATAATTCTCTTGGACTATTTAAGTCCTTGTCACCTTCTAAGGTTTTGAACAAATTATGCAGTTCATCATTTTTTACCCCAACAATAGTTCGTAAATGAGAAATATCTCCAAATAATCTTTGAAAGTCATTAAGAGTCTGCAGTCGATCTCTCCTAATTTGCACCTTTTGGGGTCTAATTTTTTGTAGCTCTTTTTTATATCCTAAATAATTAATAGAATCTCCTCTTTGTATCTTTTCAGGAGCAATTTGTAATCCCCAGCAAGGCAAAATTTTCTTTACTTCTTCAAACATTCTTTCTAAAGTATCTGCATTTGAGTCAGCTAGTAAAATATCATCCATATAATGATAAATTATAGATTTAGGAAATTTTTTACATATCACTTCCAATGGCTGTTGTACACAATATTGGCACAAAGTTGGGCTATTCAACATTCCCTGTGGGAGTACCCTCTATTGAAATCTTTTAACCGGTTGAGAATTATTATAAGTAGGCACTGTGAAAGCAAATCTTTCTCTGTCTTTTTCTTGTAAGGGTATTGAAAAGAAAGAGTCTTTTAAATCAATAACTATGAGAGGCCATCCTTTTGGTAACAGAGTAGGTAAAGGAATTCCAGATTGTAGAGAGCCCATTGGCTGAATTACTTTGTTAATTGCTCTAAGGTCTGTTACCATTCTCCATTTACCAGATTTCTTCTTAATAACAAATACAGGAGACTCTTAATCTCAGGGTCGTGGGTTCGAGCCCCACGTTGGGCGCCAAATGTAGATGTAACCAACGGTCTTATTAAATAAGAAACACAGAGTCGATTCAGAGAAGAAAGCCAAGAGGTCAGAGCTAAGAGCCTCACCCTTCCTGATTCAGGGATCCTCTTCAGCCAAGAGAGCTCTCCGAAAAAGGGACCTACTTCCTGTGTGTGTCTTTATATAGTCTAGCTGTTCTGCCTTCTCATTGGTTGCAAACCCAAACATGTGACTGCCTCGTCACTGCCTGAATGTACCGCCCTCCAGGTCCTTAAAGGCGTGCGCCACCCCTGCCATCCACTTGCTATGACTCTAATAGCTCTGACCCCCAGACAACTTTATTTATTAACATACAATCAAAATCACATTTCAGTACAAGTAAAATACCACCACAGAAGTTTTTACTAAGAGACAATGCCTGCAATCCTGACCTCTGTAGGGTGCTGACAGGAATGAGCAAGGGAGAAATATTAAAGAAACCATTTTACAAAATTAATAGTAAAACTCATGGGACAAGATTAAAGGGCCTGAAACACTGTTTAACATGAACAAAAGAGCTTAAAAAGAAGAGACGTCTATTCCTTGCTTATACAGCTGACTTTGGGTCATATACTTGTAGCAGTGGTAAAAGAGATATCTCACGATATTGAGATATATTATAAGATATCAAGACATTATTAAATGAGACCAACATGGTTGACTAATAATATATGCAAAGCAAAATCATGACAGATGCATTTCAAAATGGAAACTTTGCAAAATGCCTAGGTTTCAGTTTTACATTTCTTTTTACATTTAAAAGATTTATTTATTGGAACACAGAAAATCAGTTTGTTACATTTTAGCTTATTCAACACCAAGATGAGGGCTTTAAATAGGGAGGAGCTCGCCTTCCCCTTCTGTAGGAGGAGCTCGCCTTCCCCTTCTGTAGAGGAGCTCACCTTCCCCTGCTGTAGGAGGAGCTGGCCTTCCCCTGCTGTAGAGGAGGAGCTGGCCTTCCCCTGCTGTAGAGGAGGAGCTGGCCTTCCCCTGCTGTAGAGGAGGAGCTCGCCTTCCCCTGCTGTAGAGGAGGAGCTGGCCTTCCCCTGCTGTAGAGGAGGAGCTCGCCTTCCCCTGCTGTAGAGGAGGAGCTGGCCTTCCCCTGCTGTAGAGGAATTCACTGTCCCCTACCTGTAGACTCAGATAGGCTGGATTCAGATCCAGGTTTGTCACTTACTGGCAATAAGACTGTTTGATTTAACCAGCTTACCATATTAAGTAGGTTGTCCCTATGGTAGACTGGATGTGAGTTATCATCAAAACAGCTAGACAGTTGGGCTGCAGATATAGTTCACTGGCAAAGTGTTTGCCTAGTATGTGTAAACCACACAGACACAGACACAGACACAGACACAGACACACACACACACACACACACACACACACACACACACACACAGAGCTACACAAAATAATATGAAATATGTGACATTTTGTAACATGAATTGCTAAATGGTTTTATCAATAAAAAAAAAACCCTGGAGCCAGATATTGGGGTGAAAGCTGAAAGATCAGAGAAGCAGAGGAAGCCAGCCACTAGTCCTTACCTCTAGGAAATCCTCAGTCTAAAGAGGTTCCTCTTTCCTAATATCTTATATATTTTTCTGTTTCCTGCCATATTTCTTCCTGGGATTAAAGGCTTAAGTCCTTCCCAAGCAAAAACATGACATCTCAAATGCTGGGATTAAAGGTGTGTGCCACCATGCCTGGCTCTGTTCCCAGTATGACCTTGAACTCACAGAGATCCAGATGGATATCTGCCTCCCAACTGATAAGATTAAAGGTGTGAGATACCACTGCCTGACCTCTATGTTTAATCTAGTGGCTGGCTTTGTTCTCTGATCCCCTGGCAAGCTTTATTGGGATACACAATATATCACCATATTTACCTTTAAATTTTCAATTACTAATCCTGCAACATTTTATTCATAGTTTGCTCCATCTTAATAATTACTTATCATCATGGTCTGCAACTACTAGTATATCTGAAATATATACAAAACACAGTTAGCTGCTGATCTATTTGGGATGGTCTATATGTTGTGTCCAGTGCATGTGAGTATGTGTATGTGTGTTTATGTATATGTGTATATGTGTTTGTGTGTATGTATGTTTATGTGCATGTGGGTACATGAGAGGGTGATTGCTGGCGGATGAGAGAAGGCTGATCTGAGACAACATTATTTTTATATTAATATGTTAATGCCACATAGTTTTTACTTGAGTAGAGTCTGTGTCCCTGATTCTTTGATAGCTTCTTGGCATTTATAAATGTTTATAAATGTTTTCCCAAGTGCTGGGAATAAAACCTAGGGCCTCATGCAGTCCAGGCAAGTACTCTACCACAGAGCTGCAGAGCTACATCTCAGGCCCCTATAAGTATTTTTACACCACCCTGCAGACATAAAAATTTATATGGAAACGTTTCACCAAGTCTTCCAGAGAAAGAATGAACAGAGAGCTTCCGGTGATGTTGGGTTGGTTCATTCCATGTGAGTCACCATAATAAGCTACAAGAGGCGCTATCCTGACAATTCTCATCAATGCATCTGGGGACACGGCCACTAGACAGACATTTCTGACTCACTGAAGGAAATCAAGTCCCTTTCTATTCTCAATAATTTAAAGAGTAGTGCTACTCCAGAGGCTGAGCAGACTGTGCCAAGCTTCTTCTTTATTCTTGGCGTAGGCCAGCATTCTGATTGACAGCAGTGTTGGACAAACATGACTGAGACTTTTACACTTGACCTGAGTGTTTAACCTCAACCTTGTTCTCAGTGGATTGTGGTTGAAACTGGAGTCTGAGCTTAGCAAGTTGGTCAGCTCCTCTCTTCTATTAGGTCAGGCTGTTTACCTCAGCATGGAGGCTTCCTAAAGCCACAACCTGGGACTTAGGCATGGCTTCTTATGGTGGACTCCCAGGTATTGCTCTCAGTGGGTCCTCTATCCTCCATTCTGGCCAACACCACAGCCTGTACTTCAGGCTCCTTCTCTGAAAGGAAGCTTCCATCTTCTGTCCCAGTAAATTAGTAAGCTTTTGGAAGTAAATATATACATACATACATATATATATATATATATGAGAAAGAGAGAGAGAGAGACAAAGACAAAGACAAAGACAGAGAGAAGAAAACTGAAGTGAAAATAATTGTTTAATATGTTTTAATTTTCAGCTGTAACATCCTAATATTCAGACTGAAATGTCCTTTTCTATATGAAATAACACAGGTATTGTCAGTTAGTGAAGTCTTAGTTGAAAAAGTCAGTCAGCAACCATGCCCTCCAACAGTGTTGAAAATTTGTTTGATCATAAAGTCCCCAAGTCCTGGGATGAAGGAGGACAGATTGCTTCATTGCACTTACCTCTTTGTCATTGATCAGATACTGATAGTCTGCCCACTTCTTCCACTGGTTGCCGGGTACCCTGCTCACAAAGCCCATTTGTAAGTCTAGGCTTTGTCCTAAGGCGTGCAGAATGCATTATCCCCAGGGTATTTGTTTGGTAAAGAGCTGTTTTCTATATTTTACCAATCTAGATAGCAGTGACGACAAGGCTCAAGTGACTTGCTTCAAGTGACAGGAGTACATGGTCAATCAATGCCGGAGTGGGAGGGAAATGAATGCTAGCAATTCAGCAAGTGACTGCAAATCAGAGGGACTGAATCTATTTATCACATCCAGTTCTGTTATAGGAAATAGGCTTGATGAAATGCAATAACTTAATCCACCCTGAAACCACCTGCCCTATCCATCAAGCAAACAAGACACCACCCTCATATTTTTCCCTTCAAAATAACTTAGAGGAACTTTGCAGATTTGTCTAAACATCTTTTTGTGCCTTATCCTCTGGTAAAGTAGTAGTTCCCCTCATTTAGTCCCCCAGGTATGAACAATAGCAGATGCCATTTGTCAAGTACCACTGATAAGGCATGTATGTTAAGATGCATTATATCTTCATTATGAATTTATTACATTGGTATAAATTTTGATTATTTCAAAGAGATTTGTGTATGAACACCGTAAGCAATTGGAACAATTTTCTCAGGCTTTCATTTGGAACTTTGTTGGGCACATTTTCCAACATAGGCAAATTGACACTGTAGAAAAATCAGCCTCCTGGCTACATGTTATGCAGCAAGGTCACTACTGAAGACACAGAAATAACCATATCGAGGAGCAAAAAGTTCAGGTTTAAAATGCTTTAGAAAGTGCCAACACTTTCAATTCCCAAGTGCCTCAGCTTAATCATGATCAGCTCTGTGGCGAGGGACCGAAGGACAATTGCAGGGCTGTTGTTTATCTAGCTGGAGAGGATTCATTACCTCAGACATTATTTGACATGAAAACAGATGTACCTCTGTCACTGCTTTGACCTCGCTAACAAGATGAACAACTGGGCTGATACATTTATTGATCAGAGCAAACCCCATTCCACCGGAAATGGGCAGTAGATGCACACGAGTGTAAATGAGGACTTAACATCTGTTCCAAGGGGATTGGCCATTAATCTAAAATCTGAAACAACACAGCTAGCTCACTGCAGTGCTGCATTGTATTGTAGGTTCACAGATTAAAGGTCTATTTGGACTGGTTGGTAGGCAATATTTTCCAAATATAAGTTATTGTACATGATACTTGTAAATCAAGTATAATGAATTTGGTCTGCAGTCTAAGTAGACTGAGTATTGAAAGTGTCCATCATTTTGCAGTGACCTTGCCTCTGTTTTTCTTTCCAAAGGTAAAATGCAGTCATCATGTAAGTTGGCACTTGCTGAACTATTCATTCAGATTTTCCTCCTGTTAGCGGCATTTATGATATTTACAAGGCACACTTTACAAAGGATATGGAGTTAAAATGTTCAAATAAAGGCTACATGGATCCAGGTACACTGCTTCTTGAATAAATGAAGAACTCAAGCTAGCTGAGAGAAACTTTATAAATGTACTATTCCCAGCTCTTTTCTTGTCTTTGTGTGAATTTTATATTTTCACAGTCTTTAACTATTGAAAAAGCAACTAATACACCCAGAGCACAAACTGTTTATAAATAATTAGTTGAAAATATGAAAAATTCCTTTTCGTTACCCAGACTAACAATAGATCAACAAGAGAAAAGTACACATATTTACTTACTTTTTGTGATACAAGAATCTTAATAAGAAAACAAAAATCTGAAGAAACAGTAAAAATGTCCATAAGTTATAGGTGATTTGACAAGAATGAACGGTCGTGGGAAACTATCATTAGAGGAAGAGAGTAGTGACCAACGGTAAGAGCTGCAGAACATTGCACACCATCTTCCTGCAGATTCTTTCCTGTATCCCTTGGTCTCTTCGCTGGGGAAGGAAAAGGCATCTCCCTTGCATGGGTCACCGTCTCTTGTTCCCAGGAAGGATAGACAATCCTTCTTAGGATTTATGAGCTGCTCCAGAGAAAGTCTGGGAAAGGGAAGAGTGAGTCTTTCTGCTTCTTCTGCTTTATCACGTGCCAAAGTAGTTATCCTGGGCCCCATCACTAGTTAGGAACCAGTAATCCTTAGCCTCTTCAATTGAAGTAAATTACGGTATATAAATGATGCATGCTTGGGGAAGGAAGTGTATAAAAAGATGGCATTGTGGTGCATTCTGAATAATTCCATATCTCCACATTTCTTTTGAAATACATTATCTGAAATTAATTATAAGAAAAGAACATTAATTGGAGGAACAAATACATACACATATTCAGACACATGCACACTTGATTAATCTTTTTGTCCATCTAGTTAAAGTTATAAAGAAAACAATGTTACATTTACTAGGGTAAAAAATTTATGTCAGGGATACATGAATCAATCAATAGTTTTGCAAATTATTTCACAGGAGAACTTTTGTGCCAACTCATATGCTATAAATATTAGATGTGCCATACTGAAATTGCTTTTTTTCCCATGGAGATTTACTGACATATCTAAATCCCTCAGCATTCTAAATGCAGACTTTAAGCAATGATAAATGTTAGTAACCATCCCTCTATCATTTCTTCATCCCTTGTCTATGGAGCTGGGCTCTTTTACTAGATGTCAACAGGAACAAACTTCTGAAGTGGTTTTCTTGGAAAATTCAATTCCTTCCCATACACTAAAATTCAAAGTTGCTTATTATGGGTGGGGGTGTGTGTAGCTCAATAATAGAGCAAATGCTTTCAGAGGCATCAACAAAGTCTTGAATTAAAACTTCATCCATTGGAGAAGAGCAAAACTTATTTTAAATAAAAAATTATAAATCGTGAAGAAAATCCTCTCAAGCCACATAAGTCAACTTTGAATTTGGACTTCCTTTTGAAAATTAAGAATAGTTGTGATAATTTCTCCCTACTTGCCCAATTAGTCCACCTCTTTAACCATCTGTTATTTGAAAGTATAAATTCTATTACACAATCAGGGCTATAGTGGTAAACATGAACCATACAAGGGTACTTATCCTTACTTAAGTCAACTTGTTTGAAGTACAATTGGTTAATGTTGTCAGTTAATCATCACAGTAAACTGATGGTGTAGGTACAGGTGAAGGAATAGATTACTTATTATCATTGATAAGTGATAAGGAGCAGTTAGGAAATTTGTGCAAGGTTTTCTTTTGAGAGGCAGAAAACCAGTCTCATCCAGTAGTCTCCTGACTCCCCCCACCCCCACCGCTTCTGTTGAGTTGTTGACCCAGTAACCTCCCAAGTGCAATAGTTGCTGTATGGCCAATGGAAGGCTCGTGTGATGCTGCTCTTCCTCATGATGTTCCCTTCAGCAGCGTCTGCCACTGTCATCAGCGGTGGTCATGATGGATATAGTTGCAGGGACCTGAGATGATTAAGAGGAGAGAGGCGCAGAATAGAGAAAACTTCTAATGCCTCATAGGATGAGAAGTCAAGATGGTATGCTCAGAGACTACCACAAAATGAAAGCATTGAGAATACATATATTTTCATAATTTAATGGAAACATTATTCTCCACAGATAAAATGTTACCCTTAATATTTCAATTACCTTCCTGGCAGAAGTCTCACTGGTGATGGTATATGACTGGAAAGATGAGGCTAGATATCAGGCTGAAATATGGAAAAAATTTCCTCAAAAGATTATATTTGATTATTACTGTTATGAATCAGTTTTTATATTCAGGTCTATATTCACAGTGCTTAGCAGATTGTTTAACACATAGGCAACCCTTAGGATTATTTAGTCATTAATGAGCAAATGCATGATAAAAGTCATGCAAAAGTAGCTGACATGAATCATTAATATAATTAGTAGAGAAAATTAGAAGATAATTTGTTAAACTATCCATAGCAACAACATCACATACCACGTTTGAATTTGGGCCATTTTCTTTCCAGTTTTTTTTTCTTATGTTTACATGATAAGCATGTCTCAATACATTGTGTGATTATTTGTTATTTCAATAGTTTGCTTGGTATTTTATTTAATCATCCTATGTTTATATCTTGAGAAACATACTTATTAATATCCAAGGATTCACAAAAAGGGCATAGTGATTTGCTTCAGCATTTCAAACTAAAGTGACAATTTGTTTTAATAATTTTTAAAATGACAAAGTGACAAAAGCTATTTTACAAAAAATAGCTCAGTTTAAAGAATTGCATTCTTTTCCTGGGCATGGAGCTCTATGAATTTGAGGCCTGGTCTATACAGTAAGTTCCAGGCCAGGGAAGGCTATACAGAAAGACTTTATTTACAAAATGGATTTATTTTGGATAGAGTCTCAGAAAAAAATAAGACAGGATAATTTTGTTTTAAGGATGAATTTTCATTCTCAAAATCTAGCTCAATTTACTTTAGTGTTTGAACACACTGATTTATGCATGTTCTTGTATGGTATTTATTATATGAGTGGATTGGAGGAAGACATTAACTTATTCAGTTAAATGATAAGTGTTCTTTGTTTAAAACTTGTGAGTTTCAACTTTTTGGTTGTTCGTTAACCAATAACAAACTCTCTCTTCTCTTGTGATTCCTTTCATGCCTGTATTCAACAGTATTTACTGAATGCTTATCTTGCCATACACTAGTTGACACTAGGAATTTAAAGTTGAAGAGAAGCTCTTTACTTTCAAGTAGTTTGCAATCTGTTTGCTATGGAAAAGCTCAAACTAATTTTCTGTGTTCATTCTTTCTTCACTATGAGAAAACTGAAATTGCTACTAGCCTATCCCTATTATCTGAGAAATTATAATCCAAATGTTTTCTTCTTGGGTCCTATTATGGCAAAGCCAATGAGGTGCAGAGTGTTACCCTGAGCTCAAGTGACAAAATGAGACAAAGGTGCTAAGACAGCATCCGAGTTAAGGGATAATGTCAAATGAGCCATTGATGGAGCAGGAAAAGCAAGAAGCCGACACCCAAGCTAAAAATGCAAATGATTAACAATCTCATCCGCTTTAGAAAACTGCCAAGCTTCCTTTTGTGATGTCAGATTAAAATACTTTTATTCTGTATAATTTTCTTTCTTTCCAAAATGCTTTACCATTATCACATCCATTTAAAAATAGCTACCATCAGCATTCTATTCATTTTATTCAATGATCACTTTTAGAACATTGTGATTGAGAAGTTAGGATAATTATGCAACACAGTTAAGTCTATACATCTATCTTGGACTCCATTGAAGATAATACTTGACATTTGTGAAGTTATTTTTTATTAAGAAATATAAATCCACAAAAATTGTTTTGGAATCGGCAACAAAGCTGGAAGGCAGAGATAATGAGTCAGTCTCCATTCAGAATATGGCCATGGAAAGAGCCAAACGTCTCCAATGTGACACTCCTCAATACCCTTTAGCACAAAATTATTTTCCAACTCTTTTCTGCCTTTTTTCTGTAACTACCGGTTTGCTTTCCAATTCCTGTCCTTTTAATTTATATGTCTTCTACAGTTGGCGAAGTAGAGTATTTCTGCAAACACCAGAGGTCTAAATATAATGACTTTCTGTATTTTTCTTAAATCTGCTTTCATTCATTCTCTGAGAAAGCAATTTTGTTCTATTGTGTGCTTTATCACAAAGCGCTGTGTACCTCCCATTGGGCCCGAGTTGCTATAGTGCAGTTCCCTACAAAATAATGAAAGCTCTATCAGATGCAAAGCATTTCCCCACATGAGTGCCAGTGGACAGGCCTGGAGAGAGACCTACTGACTCAGTGACTTTGCCGTTTCCTAGCCTTCTTAGAGCCGCTGGAGACATTGCTGTGTGGCTCCTGTTTCTCTTCCCTTCACGCCAAGCATTCATTATCGATAACTATTCGTGATGTGTCTGTGTCCACAATGTGCCTATGCACAAGCAGCATTAATTAATTAATTAATACCACGTGCAAATAATCAAACTAATTTCACAAGTTTGGAGCATGATACGCAACAGTAGAGATGAGAGCATATTGGGATATACCTGGAGCACTTAACCCTTCTGAGAACACAAAACAAAGTCCAAGTGTCGTCGATGTGTTTAATAAATGACACAGCATATTGGGATACACCTGGAGCACTTAACCCTTCTGAGAACACAAAACAAAGTCCAAGTGTCGTCGATGAACCTTTTCAAGCTCTCACTCACAGGAGGTGATTCTGTAGAAAATATGGGTGCTAGGAAGTTCTTTTCATTTTGTTTGTTGGGAAATTCTATTGTAGCAACCTAAACTGCAAGGAGTTTTCACAACAAAACTTTTATGAAAAGATAAAACCTATAAAATATTAAAAATATATCACTATACAAATACATTTAGTAATTTTGATAAAAAATAATTATTTATGCTGTGATTATTTAAAGACAAATTTTTGTTGTTGTTTTTGAGACAGGGTTTCTCTGTGTAACAGCCCTGGCTTTCCTGGCCATCCTGGCCTTGAACTCACCGAGTGCTGGGATTAAAGGCTCGTGACATCACTCCTGGCTGGAGGGATGGCTGGCTGAGCCATTAAAGGCTAGGTTCACAACCAAAAAGACAAACTATTTTTAATAAAATGTATTTATTCTATGTGTTTTTCACACCGTGTATCTTGATCTCATTCATTTCCTATCCCTTGGCATCTGCCCTATGTTGCTGCACCCCACCCCAATAAAACAAAATTCAAGAGAAAAAATGAAGAAAATGAAATGAGAAAAAAAAGGGGAAGGAATTAATCTCATCATGGAGTTGCAGTGCGACCCAACGAGTCACACCATATACCCCTTTCTCCATACATCTCTACTTGTAAATGTTCATTGAAGAGTCATCGGTCTGGTTCAAGGCCCCTGGCCTCCTTTACACATTCGGTGCTGGCCCCCACTAGGACTCTTCCTGGACACTCAGCTGCTGCTCTGGGTTGTGGAGATCCTTTAACTTTGGGTCTGTGGGTCAGATCCCTTCATGTACTCCAAAAGATTGCAGATGGAGTAGATGTTGGGGCAGGCCAAGTCATAACCCTGAGTCTGGGCCTGGGCAGCTGTAGGTCTGCCAGATGGGAAATGGGGACAGCTCTCCCCTGGTCACAGTTTTGGGCCTGGCTCTCCCACACCTGGCATGCCTCTATTGTGCTGCCCTAGTAAGGTACAGGGCCTGTTTTTCTGGGTGTCGCAGCTGATGGGGGTCAGGGACAGCTCTCCCCCCCTTATGACCACAGGGCCATATCTTCTACCTGCCTCTGGCATTGATGGGTGGAGTGGGGGGTTGAGGAACACTTCTCCCCTGTCCCTGTTGCCAGAGGACAGATGGGTAATGGGGACAGCTCTCCCATGGTCACAGTAAAAACAAACTATTTTAAGAGAAGTTGATGAATAAAGAATTTTGAAAAAATCTAGGAAATGTCTTACCTTGACTATAAAACTGATAGACTAACTAGAGTTAATTGTAGACTCTTATTAATACTGAAGATGACTTATGAAATATCATATTCACTGATTTCTATTGAAAAATTTAGATATTTGTTATGGTGGGGGAAATTTTAGATATAAACACATGAAATTAGAATCAGGTTAGGTATCACTCATATGAAATCCTGGAGGCGACCTGTATTTTGTCATTTATTAAACTTTGGATGTTTTAAACTTAGAACACTGATGACCTCCTAAGCTCACATCCTGAAGGAGACTGGAGCAGCATTCCATGTGCAAGTACACCAATATTTCTAGAGCAAAGCATGTGACTATTCAAACCAAATAACATAAGGTGAATATAATCATATTTTGTTTTATATATATGCATATACATATGAATCTAGGCTCCTGTCAGATGCCAATGAGACATGGAGGGAGTTGTGTCGGTATGCCCAGCACATGTTGGGCTGCAAAAGCCAAAGATGATGCTGAGAGGAAGTGAGCTGGGGGGGACCTAACTTATTTAACAAAGATTATGATTGGCTCTTGGGATCAGGAGAGATGACGTAGGTGCAAGGCCTCCTCGTGATCATCATGCTGAGGTATGCCCGGAGAGGCTCGTGGATACGTGATCTTTGTTGTGATTGGTAGAAGGAAACCTGGCTTGTGGTTTGGTGCTTTATAAAGGGTGTGCTGATGCTTAATAAACGAGTTCCTGCCTGACATGGCTCCCCGCTGCTCCCCGCTGCTCCCCACTGCTCCCCGCTGCTCCCATTTGATTGTCTCCAGGTACCTGGAGGCAGGCCAGGTGTGGCACACTGCCCCTCCTCAGTCAAGGTCTGCTGCTGGCGGTGGGCCTAATTCTTCGGTGGGGTCAGGGGAACCCCACAGAGTTGGACATACAGAATGAAAGAAAGGTAAAAGCCATGAGGAAAAACATAGATTAATATAAATGGGTTAATTTAAGTTACAAGAGCTAGTGGGACAAGCTTAAGCTAAGACTCAGATTTCACAATTAATAAGTCTCCGCGTTGTTATTTGTGAGCTGGGGGCTAACAACAAAGCTTGTTACACATTAAAAGTTAAAAAACTATGAAATCTGAATAGAGACTTGTCTCCGTTTCCCAAGTTTTCTTCCTGCCTGCCCTCTTCCCTGTGCCTTGAGAAACACTACTAAGAGACTCACGGTGAACTCCCGGCTGGCTCCCTCAGCTCTTGGGAAGGTAGCTTTGTGAATGGATGTAGAAAACTCTTCATCTTTAAATCCACAAGCTGCAGAGCAACATAGCACTTGAAGGAAAGTTATATACAAAAATATTAAATCAATAAACTGTCAACTTGAGAAAGAAAATAAAAATATAGAAACAGATTCAAAATAAGCAAATGTTAGAATCAGTAGAGATAAAATATCAGATAAGGAAACCAACTAATACTAAATAATCCAAGGCATACCTTTTATGAAAGAAAAGAAATCATTTGCAGGCCCGGATAAAAACAGATGGACACAAATACAGAAAACTAGTAATGAAGGGAAGCCCAAGGCACTGTCTGGACTACGGCAAAAATGTGACTTTTCTGAGTTCTATTTAACAAGATATGAAAACGTACGCAAATCTAGAGGAGAGTCCTTAATATGCCATAATAAACACTAAGATTGAAAATACTGAAGTTGTGTATGTGTAGAGTATTTTGACTAGTCAGAATTTATGATCATTTCCCGGGTTTCCAGGTGTTGCCTGTGTTCAGATGAGGCGGACATGACCTTGGAGATGAATACAAGTGTCAATTCTTTTTTTTTTCTTCTGTTTTTGCTTTTGTTTTTCTGGAGACAGTGGATACACGGCTTCTCTGTGGAGCCCTGGCTGTCCTGAAACTCATTGTACAGACCAGGCTGGCCTCGAGCTCAGAGATGTGCTTGCCTCAGACTTCTGAGTGCTGGGATTAAAGGCGTGCGCCACTTTCACCTGGCTTACAAATATATATTCCTAACAGTGGTTTAAATTGATTGAGACTCCAAAATACTCTACAGATTCATATCTGAAGTAATCTAATTCCTGTGTGTGAATATTTATAATTCTATTTAGAAAAATATGATCCAATTACATGCTTCATGCAATAATTGATTTTTCACCAAGAATCCCTGTAGATATTTCTTAAAAGGCAAGTCAAACTGGTGCATTTGATATTAACTGTCAGAAAGACATGGTTTATCCTGAGATGGGACATCTGTTGTATATGCTAAGGTATATGTGTGCAAGGAAATAGTTCTAGAAGAAATGCAAAGCGTTAAAAAATGGGTCATGTTTCTGTCCAGACTCATCAGCAGTTGGGGCTTTATTGTGTTTCTTTTTAGTCTTTTGAGACAGAGGTACTCTGTATCCCTGGCTGGTCTGGAACTCAGTACATAGCCCAGGCTGGCTTCAAACTCACAATACTTCTTAAGTGGTTATGCTGGGATTATAGGCATGAGCCACCTAGTTCATATCTTACAAAGCCAGTTATTAAGGGGTGATTAGATCATAAGGCTCTGGTATAATAAATGGTTTAATGCATTTGTAGATTCATAATTTTATGACTTTATTGAGAAGTGATGGAAACTCAAGAAGGTGAGGTATATTTGGAAGAAGGCTATCACTGGCTATCACATGTCCTTCGTTGGGGTATCTTGTTATAATCTCTCTCTGTCTCTCTCTTCCTGTCTGTTTTTGTCTCTGTCTCTCTGTCTCTCTTTGTCTCTGTCTCTGTCTGTCTGTCTGTCTGTCTGTCTCTCTCTCTCTCTCTCTCTCTCTCTCTCGTGTGTGTGTGTGTGTGTGTGTGTGTGTGTGTGTGTGTATGCTGTGTTTCCTGGTTGACTTGAAGGGAGCAGGTTCTTCCACACATTCCCAACAGTCATGATTGGCTGCCTTGCCTTAAGCCCAAAGCAATGAACAACTGACCTTAGACTGTAACTGTGTACCACATTTTGGAGGCTTACATATTGTCACAGTGGAGAAAACTGACATCTGATGCTTCTGCTTTGCTACTCTATCCCGAGAGTGCAGTTGTCAAGGCTGCCTGGACTCACAGAAAACAAGACAGTGGAGAAATGCAGATTGAACTTTGCAGATGAAAATATGTAGTTTAGCCTCTTTGCTGCTTAGTTACCGAGGCACAGATGCCTCCCTGAAAGCTTAACAGAAGGTGGAAAACTTTGTTTCAAATCTTCATCTGTTCAGAAAGGAAAATGGAAGCATCCCCTTTAGTTTGTTATGTTTGTTTATTAAACTCAGCAGAGTGACAATCATAAACCCTAATAAAATGTTGCATTTGAGTTATGAACAGATAATACATTAAGTGAAAGAAAACAGTAGGATCCTAGATTTAGTATGGACTGTACTTATTTAGCAGATGTAAATTGCCCATTTTATCCATATTTTTATTACCTGGTTTTTAACTGAGTGATTTGAATATTTTGTTATTTCACTTAGTTACAGTTATGCAATAGGTCTCAAGTACTGAATATAGCTGAAAGGTGTGAATATTAAAATAAATTTCCATGACTTTAAAAACTGATTAAGTATCTCCTAAGAAAAATGCAAAATAAATATTTTAATTTGATATCAAATGGTGTAAAGATAATTCCTGATGATTATGAAATTTAATTTTTAGTGTAAACATTCAAATTTCTTTGTTCAGATTAGCTTTTTCACTAAATTAACACTTTAGGAATGATGTATTTGGAATAAGTAATTGAGAGAGAAAGAAGACATCTGCTTGGCCAGATGCATCTCCTAAGCTATTTGAAGCAATAAATAAATAGAATCAAAGATATCACAGCTGGTTCATCTCTCATGTCCTAATAGTTTTATGTCAACTTGACACAAGCTAGAATCATCTGGAAAGGACTCCCAATTGAGAAATTGCCTCCTTAAGATTTGCTTGAGGGCAACTCTGTGGAGCCTTTCCTTAATTAGTGATTGATGTGGTAGGACCCAGACCACTGTGGGTAGCAGCACCTAGGTAAGTGGTCCTAGAGTTTATAGGAAAGCAAGCTGAGTAAGCACTCCTCCATGGCCTATTTATCAGCTCCTGTTCTGTTTGAATTTCTGCCTGACTTCTTGAAACACTGGAGGTGTAGGCCGAAATAAACCCTTTCCTCTCCAAGTTGTTTATGGTCATGGTGTTTTGCCACAGCAATAGAAATCTAAACAGAGAAACATGTGAGATCTCTAGAGTAATGACAACCTGGCACTTATTATTAAATGAGCATACTATGTGACAGACTCTGAATCAAGGAGACACCAAGATTGAAAATGAATGTGTATCTCTAAGAAGTTCACAGTCTAGTAGGCCTGGCAAGGTTTGCCAGATAACCAACCATTAGGCATATGTACTGCAGCAGATGTATTCACTGGGCCTGGTTTGATTGTCTCCTCCAGAGGGTCATGCACCAGGAACTTAGTACCCAGTGTGGCAGAGTTGAGGTGGGAACCTTTAAGAAATGACATCAAGTGCAATGAAATTATGTTGCAGAGGCACCATCTGCATAAATGAATTAGTGCTGGTCTCGTGGAGTGTGTCAATTCTCATGTTAGTGGGTTATTACAGGCAGAGTCTCCTAGGCTGTTGACCCTTTTTTTACTTGGCTTGACTCCTTCCTGGTTCTCTACCATGTTGTGACATAGGCAGGGAGGCCTTCTCAGGATGCCAGTGTGATGCTCCATCTACCAGGGTTAGGAGCTAAATAAACATTCTTCTTTACGTAGCACATAGCTTTGAGTATTTTGTCACAGAGAAGGAAAATGACTGAAACAAATTTGCTAGAGGACTGTAATACCTGCCTGCCTCAGATAGGTTGGGAAATATCCACCTCCCCACCCTGCCCATCACTGATGCTTGTCTTTGGATAATGAAAGGACTTGTTCCTAAGAAGAAGATGGACATTTCATCTAAAGGACACATTTTATAACACAGAGATGAAACAGGATCTGGAGAACGCTGCTATGGGGCCTGAGAGTTGTTCAGTGTGACAAGGACAGAGTTTATTTAGGAAAATGATAGACATGAGTGTCTGCATAGCTTCATGTTACAAATGATCTTAGGAACCAAATGAAAAGACTGTAGCTCTTCTTGGAGGGGAAATTTAAGTTTGGAGAGCTACAGCATCAGCTTTGCCTTTTGAAATGTGTCTGAAAGACTGGCGTAAGGGCAGAAAGCAGAATCCATACATGTCAGAGTAACCTAACCCAGAGAGAACCGAAGAAGCAGCAGTGGATTCATCTCAAATGTATGGGCAAAGTACAGGGAGTCGTCTGTGACCTGGGAGCTATGAGCAAAGATGAGAGAAGAATAAATGGCATTGGACATGCACAGAGAGGGTCGTGGAAAATGTGGGTAGAATTGAAACCTATCACAGGAGAGTCTTCTTAGCAGACCTCACAGAGAGGGAAACATAGGCTCAAACACAAGTTCACTCTCTTCCCTTCTTCCCATCTCAGAGCTCTGCACGCCAGAAAGCTCAAGGGCTCACCAGCACAGTTCACTGGTGGATTTCGTTAGAGTGGTAGCCCTATTAGCTCAAGAGCCCATCTGTATGACCTCATTTTATCTTAGTTACTTCCTTACATTGAGGATAGTCATGCTGGTGACTGGGGATTCAACATACGAAATGGGAGTGTGTAACTGGAAGTTTTCCTGTGTCCCGCCCGGTCCACAGCTGCACGGTCCCAAGTAAACACACAGAGGCTTGTATTATTTATAAACTATGGGTCAAGCCTATGGGTCAAGCTTCTTGCTAGCTAGCTCTTATAACTTAACTCAACCCATTTCTATTAATCTATATGTTGCTGTGTAGCTGTGGCATTACCAGTCTGCTGGCATCTTGTTGCTCCTTCGACAGCAGGCTGGCGTCTCCTTAACTCCACCCTTCTTCCTCTCCTTTTCAATTTGAATGTACCATCCAACCTTATCCTGCCCTGCCATAGGCCAATGCAGCTTTATTTATTATCCAATGGGAGCCATACATATTCACAGTATACAGAAAGACATCCCCTAGCAGGTGTGGACATATAAGTACTCACAACCCATGTCTAAAATGTTAAACAGTGAAGCCAATTGTACTATGAAAATCATTAGCTTCCTTCTAGAGGTTTCAGACAATTCTGCCTCATTTTTCTTTGTAGCTCAATATTAAGGGAAAAGGATATGCGCTATTGTTTTTAATAAAATAGAAGGTATGCCAGAGCACATTCAGGTTTTCCTTCTTACACTTTTCTTTGCACAGTCAGCTGAGTTCTGAATGCTATTTTCAGTCAGAAAGTTTGCTCAGCAGATGCCTGTGACAGATTGCTCAAAGTAAGACCATCACTAGGTGGATGCCCGGGAGCTCAGGCACTGCCGTTCCCGGAGAACTTTTTGGTCTATAACAACAGTTAAACACATCCATGTTTAATAGTTTAATAAGCAGCCATCTTAGAATTTATAGCTTTTCACCTCACAAACAGCTAATCCTCCAAAAAACAGCTGAATCATTTCTCTTCCTATCCTTGCACCTGGAATTTAACTGCAAAGCTGAAGCTTCACATTTGCTCCAGTGTAACTAGGGTGTCGGTGACAGTCATCTCATGTTTATTTTACATTATAAATGCATAGAACTTACTTAGATGGAAATCTGCATCATGTAGTCTGTTCACCCCACCTGTCAAGGCAAGCACATGCATGTTAAATGCAGAGTTCTGCTTAGTGATCGGTGTGGCTTCACAGTCAGCCTTCTAGTTTATCCAGCTAGAGCTGGTTTCACTCAATGTGTCATTTCTACATTAAAAGAAAATTTCCACCATTGGTGTCAAAGGAAAGTTAATGATTCTCTGAATCATTGACAAAAATGTTGGAAGAAAAAAATGTATATTTCAAGATCCTGGCACCCTGTTCTGAAACTACTCAAATGTATCATTGTAGACATTTAATTTTCCTTACATGGCACTTATTTTCATAGTTTTCTGTTGTGGTTTATCACAGTAACATTCCTAAAATGTAGCATTAACATCAGTTGTTCTTTCGTCTACATTAGAATGGCTGAGGACAGCCTCTCTTTTCTCTAAGAGAGAAATTTCTGCAAGCATGTTGTCTTCCCTGGTACTTGGCAAAGGAAAGGTGATGATCCCACACTTGGGAAGTGTGGGGTAAGAAGGTGCTTCTAATTGCTGCTGCTGAGTCCCAAATCCGTCTGTCTGCGTACCATAGTCACTGCACTGTTACTTTTTCTTTGCGTCAGCCTCCAACTTTAAATGTGGACAGAAGTGTCTCTTCTACAGTTTTGCATACCTGGGGTTAAGCAAACTGTTCATAGTGGATAGTTTAAAAATTGGTATTTAGGAGGGCACAAGGGAAAACATATCTAAACATCAAAACTCCCCATCAGTCTGATCTCCTTTTGAAATCTGTTTTTGTCATTGATAGATGTGCCATGGTCTGGATCTGAAATGTCCTCTACTGATCCGTGTTCTGAATGTTTGGTCTCCAACTGGCAATGCTATTTTGGAAAGATGGGGAAACATTCAGAGGTGAACCTAGCAGGGAAAGCAGGCGCATGGAGATCACCTTTGGATGCTCTGGTTCCAGCCTCCGCTTCCGGACCCACCAGGTGTGAGAAGTATCAAGCGTATGTTCTCAACCACCATGGACCAAGCGTATCCATCATGCTTGTGCTCTGAAACCACAAGTCCAAATGCCATCTGTTGTTTTTATTCTCATCGTTATGCCTGATTTCTATTGCAGGACTATGATTTTATTTTCTTCTCTTTGGGAGAAGAAAGTATCGATCAAGGTATCTGACCTCCTCCCTCAATTAGAGAGATTGTAATTTGATCTAGGCTAATCTATATGTTCATCAGAGGGTGAAAGTGACTGGGTTACATACAGATACATCATGCAAGTTAGGTTCCTGAAAGAGAGCCAGAAATTTTGATATAACTCAGTGAAGAAAGAGGTTTTTTAAAAATTTTTTTCTTCAGCTAGCAGTTAGAAAAACAGGTGTGGTAAAGCTGGAAGACAAAGTTGTCCCCCAGGAGGCAGGAGACATGGTGTCTTCCAGGGGGCTAGAGACATGGTTGGTCTCCAGGAGACTGGAGACATGGCTGTCCCCAGGAGGCAGGAGACATGGTTGTCCTCCAGGAGGCTGGAGACATGGTTGTCCTCCAGGAGGCAGGAGACATGGTTGTCCTCCAGGAGACTGGAGACATGGCTGTCCCCAGGAGGCAGGAGACATGGTTGTCCCTAGGAGGCAGGAGACATGTTGTCCCCAGGAGGCAGGACATAAAATTGCATAAAATAGCAATTTGAAACCTACCTTGGAAATTTTCAGATACACTAATCAGTATTTAAAAAAAAAAAACCAAATTTCTTTGAATTGTGTTTTGATACTGAAAGGATCTTGATTCATTTATCAATTTAAATTTCTTAACTCAGTACTTAATGTATAGAATAGAGGCAATAGAAAGTATAGTTGCATTAAGGAGTTTTAATAATACAATATAAAACTTCACAGTATATACAATAGTTCTAAAAATAGTCAGTGCTTCTAAGGTTTTCATTGTCCAGCATCGTTGTAAATGCCTTACAAATGTTAATCCACTAATCCTGGAACAACTAAGATGTATTTTTCTGGTGAAGAAACTGAAATGCACCAAATTTTAAAAAATTTGTTTTCAGCCACTGAGATTTTGAACGGCAAAGGTAAGAATCAAGCCATAGGAGCTTGGCTCCACACTGGTGCTCCTAACTCCTCTTCCACAGCAGTGCTTATCATCTCAGTGCCCGACACAAAATAAGGGCCGTGGGCTTATCGTCACCCCAGACGGCTCGCCACTGCTCCTGGATTCACTAACGTCTGTGTTTCTGCCGCAGCAGTTGCACTTGCTCGTCACAGGGGTTGTTCTAGCAGCGCGTTCTCATCCCGGGCTTTCATCTAACTCACCTGCACAGCTGCTTTAGTCCAAAACTGGCAAGCGTGGTCCTACTGCTTCCGCAGGCCCGGGGTGGGCAAGTGTCGGCACTGCTAACAGGTGGGGGTGGGAAAGCCGTCACTGCCCTGCGCTTCACAGAAACATTGTGATGACCCTGGAGCAGACTGCATGTGCAGCGCATAGGAGTAAGGAAGGGTGTGGCAAGATGCATCTTCTTACATCCCTGGGTAAACACGTTTTATTGTTCTGTGTGTGTGTGTGTGTGTGTGTGTGTGTGTGTGTGTGTGTGTGTGTGTGTGTATGCACTTGAGGATATATGTATACATGTGTGGCATGAAGACCAGAGATTGACACTGGATATCTTTTCTTGATTGCTTTTGTTTTTGAGACAGAGTCTTCCACTGAACCTGGAGCTTGTGGATTTGGTTAAACTAGTTGGGCAATAGGCTTCAGGGATCCACTTTCCTCCACCCCTTAAATTGTGGCCTTACAAATTACAAAATACCATTTATTTAATATGTGCTTCATTTGATATAAAAAATCTTCATGAAGTAATTAAGACCAAAGAAATGGTTAAATTTGTACTTTTGGCTACATGAGGAGTAAATAACTGGAAAATTTATTAAAATTTACTAAGCTTGTCTCTTGAGATTTCTTTTTGGATCCTTTTGTCTTCCTTTGTGCATACAAAGTACACCATGAGAGAAGGTCCTGTTGTTTACCTTAGGATCATCAGACAATCCCTCCTACATCATATATCCCTGCATCTCTCCCCAGTTGAAAATGTTGGAGGTAGAGTACTAAAACCCACAGGGTACACATGGACCATTCATTGTTTTGTCTTTGACTTTTCTTAGTTCAAAATTCATGATACACACGTTTGCATAAGAAACATTTTCCCTAAGAATTTGCTGAATATATGAGTCATGCTATATAAAGCAGAAATCTTATGAAAATATTCATAGCATGCCTTTGAAACTTTATGGGATTCACTGGCTTGAAATTTTGTGACTTACTCGGGCATTCTACAGAGTACCTCTCTCCTTTTATTATATAACCTCTACAAGAAATTACACATTATTATAATCATAAGCAGGGTTATCATACAAAATCTTCAACCTTGCAGAAGGCAAATTTAATTAATGTTTGCCTAAAATCATAACTACTAGGCAGATGTCAACATTTAAATGATTTACAGATGGGTTTAAAAATAAATTTCAAAATTATGCTTTCATTTTTTAGTAGGACATGAAATAACACATAAATAATATATTCAAATAAGAATTTTGGAAGGGGTTGGAAAGCATGCAAATTAAAGTTGGTTGTTATTATAGCATCCATTATCATCATTTTAATACCACAAATTGAGTGAGACTGAGTTTCAAACTATGCTCACTAAGTAATTGGAGATGAATTAGTGTGCTTCCTGTCGTGTATGGCAGGCACACATACTTCTTGCTTCTGCAATATCATCATCAAGATTGCAATATTCCCTCTCTTTCCACACTCTCTCCTTCGGTATTCTCTTCCCTCCTCGCGATATCTCTCTCTCTCTCTCTCTCTCTCTCTCTCTCTCTCTCTCTCTCTCTCTCCCCCTCTCTCTCCCAATGAAGCTCTAGAAAGGTAAAAAAAAAAGATTGCAATATTCAGGTATTTTCTAGATCTAGGATTATAGCTCCTGCTCTTATTTCCGTTATAACACACTACCCACATCCAATTCTAAGAAATAGCAGGAAACTATTAACAGCTATAGACATGCGCTTGAGTACTATTTTTAGCTTCTCCCAAATTAATATATTGCTTTAATAAACCCTTGCTATTCCTGAATGCCACTGTAAAGGATCATCTACCAGAGCTTACACATCAAGAAAATGTATTAACACTTATTACCACAAATGTCGTCATTAATATTTTATAAAAGGGCTGGCACAGGAAGTGGCATTAAATCTCTAAAAACTTGCTGCCTTGTTTATTAGTACCTTTAGTTGCATTTTAGAGCAATGGGGGATGCAGGTTTCTATGTGACTCCATTGAATTCTAGACAAATTCACATGAGTTGCTATTTTTTAATTTACTTATAATTTGTGAGATTTCACGTTCTAAATACAAAATATACTAATTCATTAAGAGATAAAGTATGTAGGTTGTAGAATAATGAATTAATTTCCTTTTAAAAGGACATTTTTTCAAAGACCTTTATGCAAGAAAATATATCACTTTTCTTGTTGCTGTGACAAAAACATCTCAGTGAATGTGTTTGTTTATTTTGGCTAACAGTTTGGAGGCCCACCTGACTGGAAGGTGGACATGGTGGTCACAGAGGTAGCTAGCTAGTCACATTGTCTCTGTAGTCAAGAAGGAGAGAGAGAGATAGACCTTGGTCCTCCTCTGGCTTTCCCCTTTCCCTTTTTATTCAGTCTAGGACTCCAGCTTTTGGCTGATGGTGTTCAGATTCATGGTGGGTCTTCCTTCCTCAGGATGCTCTGTTGGGAAGAGCACACATGTGAGGGAGGCGGGGCTTCCAAGCAGCCACAGTGCCTCCCAGTATCTAAGAGAGCAGAAACACCCGATGGCTTAAATGAAAGACACTTATATGGTTAATCTTAATAGTCAATTTGATTGAATTTGGAACCACTCAAGGGACACATTTCATTCCTTTGTACCTGCTGTCTCATTCAGTGTGATCGCTACTGGGCACATGTAGCCTGCTAGAATATTTCAGTGAGTGACATTTACATCT